TATTTCATGTAAATCAAAGTGTGATGAAACTTGAAGCTGGAGAGTGACTAGTAATGAGTAGGGAGGAAATAAACAGCCCTTGCTGAGTTTCTTACCGGTTCTCAGTACAAGGTCTCCCGCCGTAGATTTGCGAACCGATGGCGTAGCTTTTCGACATTCACAAGTGCTTGTAACAGCCTAGACTGAATAAATGATTTCATTTCATTGTACTATGTATTGAACAGAGCCCTCTTTCCTAGGGGGCACTTTGGGCAAGGGTCCTCAGATCAAATACAAAGTCCCTAATTCCTGTTAAATCACCAAACGGGGGTCGTAGGGGCCCCATTATCCTAATATGCCCAGTGGGCCAATCGCCTAACCAGATTGCTTTGGAAAACGCTATCGCTTACGATTTCATTTTGTTATTTCTAACCACCGAAATACCTCACGCTCATTTTCTTTAATATTGTTATTACCAATGCAAAGGAAAAAAAAAGAGCGCGAGGCATTTGAAAACCTCAGGGGGCTAGAAATAACAAAATGAAATCGTAAGCGATAGCGTTTTCCAAAGCAATCCAGTTAGGCGATTGGCCCCCAGGGCCTCCAATAGGTCAAAGACGGCACTGATATTGAACTATGTATTACTGTGAGAGCATTAAAAATATTTCTATTTCTAGATTCACCCAAAGCATCAGCTAAGAACCAACGCACCGACAAGAAGCCTTTACAACGGAGGCAACTCAGTTTACAAGCGAGAAAGAGTAAGCGAGCGCGCGATATTGTCGTTGTCGCTCACGCATCCGGAATGGCGTTGGATGAAGATGCTACACATACACACACACACACATACACACACACACACATACACACACACACACACACACACACACACACACACACACACAAACACACATATAATGACGCGCGCGCTTTGCACACATCTCACCGTTGTTTGGTAGGGGGTCTTCTAAACTATTATGCTATAACTAAAAAATTAAAATACGTAATTGGCATTAAGATAAACTATATTGTAAAACCTGTTTTATATTAAGAAAATGCTGTGGATTTTGGTCTAGAATTAAATAAATAAAATTAAAGGATGGAATCGCAAATGACGACGTTCTGTCCCACTCGCATAAGTGACGTGCGAGAGAGACGGAATGCCATTTTCGATTCAATTTACTGAATGACACGCGTCGTCCGCCTTAAATTTAGTTTTTTGAAAACCACTCCGGAGCTTATATTTTTTCGGGATAAAAGGATTCCTATGTCTGAATCCAGATAATAAACTACATATATGTGTGCCAAGTGATATCCAAATCCGTTCAGCTGTTTATGCATGACTAGCGACTGCCCGCGACTTCGCCCGCCTGAACTTAGTTTCCCTAAAATCCCTCAGGAACGTTACACTTTTTTCGGGATAAAAAGTAGCTTATGTTTTAATCCGGGGTGTCAGCTAACTCCACACCAAATTTTATTAAAATCGCTCCAGCCGTTTAGACGTGAAGAATCCAATAAAAAGTATTGTAACCACAAATTTTTCTGCGTTTATATACAGGGTACATTCAGTATCCAGTTTCCAAGTGTCGAAACCTGAACACACAATGCGAAGATTGCAAGCTAGATTCACCTAGAGTAACTAGATGGCGCTGTCGTAACAGTAACAAACATACGTATTCCACATTTATAATACCAGCGGCCGCCCGCTGCTTCGCCCACGTCAACTTTATTCCCTCGGGAACTTAACATTTTCCCGGGATTAAAGTAACACTCATTCCATGTTATAAACCATATGTGTACCAAATTTCATCCAAATCGGTTATGCTGGCCGGTGTTTGCATAATTGAGTAACAAACAAACAGATTCACTTTTGCATTTTAAATATTAGTTAGTCGTAATGATCCCAAAGCGATCGATGACGCTAAAAATATATTTTTCAATACATTTGTTCGAAAAAAGCATTTACGAAGGTTGTATACTTTGTTCGAAAATTCTAAATTACGGGCAATACGAAGCGTGCGGTAAAATTCATTACGCACGCTCCCATACATGGCACCGTGCGTATTCTTTACGGTTTTTTTTATATCGATCGAACCTCCTCGGAAACGCTTTTAGTCTATACCTATTTCTCGCTTTAATACTAAAAAGAAGAAGACAAAACATGTAGTTCTGACTTTCACCATCCGCACGTGGCGCCTTTTGGAGAAGCGCGCCATTTTCATATTAGAAATAACTAGGGCTGCCATCCGTCCGGGTTTCCCCGGATTTGTCCTAGTTTACGGGGCGTCCGGGGAGCTGCCGGGCGGGGTTTTATTTGTAGTCCGGGTTTAAAAATTTACGGCAACGCATGAGTGGCCCTTGGCGCTGCAAGTGTCCATGGGCAGCAGTAGTGACCACTTATTATGAGGTAGACCGCTAGCTCTTTTGCCTAGTACAACATAAAAAAGTTGATTTGTGACATTTTTAACTGTTTTTTTATTGGTCTGTCCGGGTTCTGGGCTCCAAAATCCGGGGTTATCACACGTCGTATCCTGGTTGCCACTTTTTAGAGATGGCATGGCCCTAGAAATAACCAACTTACTGTACTTGTATCTTAAATACGTATTCTTCTTTAATAGGAAATACCAACTTTTCTTCCAATAATGCGGGGCACACTCGGGCTTCCGGTTGCGAGGGACCCCGAAGTGTTGGAAGGTAATATTTTTGTTTTAATATTAAAAACATACAGTACCCTTAGTACGAGTTTGAGCTCACGAAAACTATCATAGTTTTCATAATTGTAAATTATGTTTCTATGTACATTTTGGTGAAAAGTAACCAATTATACTTGAAATTTAAGAAGATGCAAATGATTTAATGATAGAATTTAAACATTGTTTATTTGTATTGAAACGAAAACAATAAAATCAGTACCCTTAGTACGAGTGCGAGCTCACGAAAACTATCATAGTTTTCGTAATTGTAAAACTCGTACTAAGGGTACAGTTCCGAGCCACATCTAGGATTACCATCCGTCTGGATTAGCCCGGATATGTCCGGACTTTTAGACTACTGTCCGGACTTTGTCTGGTTTTTTTAAATGACCGTTTTTTTTAAATTACATTGAATATGAATAATGCAAGTATATATTGATGTAAATACCATAGCATTGTTACTAAGCGAGTAATGGTTTCGTCAGGACTTTTCCAAATTCCTAAATAGCATAATACAACAAATACAAATTCTTTATTTGATACAATAATTTCCGATACAGTATTGCGATTGGGAATTTCTTTTAAGTAAATATATACTTGTATTAGAAATTCCCGCTCTCCGTGCTAAAAAACATGGTACATTGAATTATTGATCACCTTAATATTTTAATAATAATGATATAAAATCTAAAAAGTAGCAAAAAAAATTTTTTTTTTTTACAATATTTCTTTTAGTCGATTTGTTTGTCTAATAATCTAATCTAATATAAGTATAATAATCCCTAGCCACATCGCACAGTCTGTCTGTTTATCGCGATGATCTCAAAATCTACTGAATGGATTTTAAGGCATTTTTTTAGCATAAGTTAGATAGATCTAGATTATACAGTGTTTCGTCAATTCAAAGATGACACCAAAAACTGATAACATGTGTTCTTTTCAACTTTCATCACATTAATATTATTAATTACTATTAATGTGATGAAAGTTAAACTATATTAGATGTTAAACTATATGACTTTTCTTTAATTTAAATTGCTTTATTACTTAGCAAATAATAATCCTCATGGTTATCATAAAATATGTCGTGTTTTTTTTTCGAAATTTCATGAGTTTGATTCCCAGTTGTAGCAGGCGATTAAAAAAAAAATCTGTGAATGCAGTTCTTGTTATTATTAAAAATAAAATGATGTCTTCTTTCAGTAAAATATCCTATCTTCCATATTTAACATACTTTCTCTCCGTGTGAGGTAGCCGTGGGACGCCCTGTATATATAATTTTCTAATATATGAAATTCTCGTGTCACGGTGTGCGTAATTGAACTACTCCGAAACTCCTCGACCGATTTTCGTGAAATTTTATATGCATATTCAGTAGGTCTGGGAATCGGACAACATCTATTTTTCATCCCCCTAAATGTTAAGGGTGGTCCACACTTAATTTTTTATTTGGACAGTTTTTTAATAAAATATCATACAAAAATACATACAACCCTAAATTTTCACCCTTCCACCACTCATATTTTTATGGCGATACGAATTTGGCTGGGTCAGCTAGTATATTAATATATATTTTTATATATTAGCTATTTTCTGTCGCCCCTCTGACTAGTTATTAGCATTAAACAGCAGTTGCTGAAAACCAGCATTTTGTCTATTAAGGCAAAAACACTGCTGAGCTTCTGCCTATTTGCATCACTGTCACTCACTAATGATTGTTGTTCATACTAGTTATATAAGAACTGTTAAACTTATAATCATTTATGTCTGCTTATTATTAATAGTATTAATTTGTGATGTAAATAAATGAATTTATTATTTATTATTAAACAGCATTCTCATATTTGACTGACATAATCGTGTATATATGTATGTGTGTATATGTATGTATATATATGTGTATAATATGTATATATTCTGTTAAGAGTATTTGTATCATAGGTTTATCTTAAATTTGTCTTTATTGCGCCCCCGTCACATTAGTTTTTTTTCTTACGCTCTTACTGGTCGACTGGTAGAGAATTCCTTATGGCATTATGTCCGCCATTTGCTGTGTACTTTTGCAATAAAGTTTAAATAAAATAAAATATCCTCCGTGACTAGAATTATTATCAAATTTATTTGTTTCTTAGGTTTTCACGCACATCACTCATTAAATAAAACTAGTTTTTACGGGTTAATGTACGAAACTTTATTTATTTATTGACGTTTATAAATAAAAGTTTTATTCTGACCACGAAGCCTGTAAAGGCTAAGAAACGTCAATAAATAAATAAAGTTTCGTGCATTAACCCGTAAAAACTAGTTTTATTATTATCAAATTCGTAGGTTTAGACTACAGACCTTGGGTGAGACTGACTACGCGCTTACAAGCGCATTTGGCTGCTTGCGCTCAACCGCTTGCGGCGGAAGAAATCAGCTTAGCGACTAAAATCAAAGAGGTATGTAATTATTTATTTTTATTTATTATTTATTTATTATCTTTGGGCAGCTAACAGCTTATGAAAATAAAGATAACAGCAAAAAATATTACTAGAAGCTATTGACAAGCTACCACATATAGAAATAGACTAGCAAACCAGTGAACCAAATGTTCACCAAAACCTGATTAAAAAAAAATGTATTTAATTAATTGAGAACTTCGGAGATTTTGTGTGGTTTCGTTTGAAATTCGTGATTTCTCGAAAACCGGAAGTGCTACGTTACTCAAATCCGGTTTGTAGTCGTATCAGACTATTCTTAACTTATAACTTAAATATTCTCTTTATCTATCTCTTACGGTTTGGCCGCTGAAACAGCACCACAGACAGACAGACGGACGGACTTGTCTAATAGATAAGAGATAATGTAACTTATATAATTTGTGTCGCTTGTACGCCGGGTTTCAAGGTGTCGCCTACTCGAGAGGTCCCGGGTTCGAATCCCGGTGGGGGCAGATGTTTGTGTGATGCATACGAGCATTTGTACTCCAGTATTTATTCTATATAAATATACTTATATATGTACAGTATATGTATTCTATCCGTTACCCTAGTATCCCATAACACAAGCCTTATAGTGCTTACTTCAGGGCTAGAGTAATTGGTACCTTATATTATTTCTTTTACAGGTAGATGTGGACATATCCCAATTATATTCTATAATGGTGGAAAAGCAGCGTGCTAACGCAAGGCACGCGGAAAGATTGGCTCGCGTCAGAGAAGTTACTCATCAGCTGTGCAGATGTAGCTCTTTATTGGACCAGGTGAGACGTTATTCTTTATTTATTATTCCGTTGCAGCGGCGCGCTGTCCGTATCATTGGCGATGAAGAGGTAACCAGGAAACTCGAGTCTCTACAATTACGCCGCGATGTGGCATCATCATGAACTGGAGTCGCGCCCTATGTAGATCTATTTGTTTCTTCTACAACGATTCACGCCTGCTGACTTGCTCCGCCCCTTTTCCTACCACTGATCCTGGTCGCGCTCATCAGTCGCTCGAAATGAATTGTTAGTTCAGTTGATGGCCAGCGTATGGTACTGCTGGACGTTTTTACTATTTAATAAACAAAATAATGATGTTCGTATGCTTTGAATTAACTTTTTTGCAGTGATACTCAATACTCAATGTTTTATTGCTATCCACAAGTTATACAAGATGTTACAAAATAATATGCACAATCATGGACCCCGTCGGGCACAGCAATCAATTAATTACAGAGGGAGAGTGACACCTTTGATTACATAAAAACGCTAATAAGTACCATAGCTGACCATTACAATTTAGAATTTATATAATATCTATCTATAATAAATTAAAATAGGTATTAAATTTTATTTCATTCTATAAAATCACGAATAATAATAATAATAATGTGTATACTAATTCATTAATTGTAAAAAAGATAATACGAACAAATTATATAAAATATACGCAAATAAAATTTATTTAAAGTTATATAAAAACAAAACACAAAACACAATTATTTACACAATTGAGAATATAGTATTCTCAACAATGTAAGTAACTAAATCATTTGAATATTAATTTACATTATAATCACATTTTAACATTTCAAATTCATTAACTAATAATAACATTTATTAAAAGCAAAATAAAATCAACAAATTATATATTTTCAATAGTATAAATAACTTCAAGCCATTTTATCATTTAAATATTCATTAACACTGTAATAACATTTATTAATCAAAAGAGTTTTTAAACGTTTCAAAAATATTCCTTCTGTAGATTCTTTTTTTATTTGGTCAGGCAACTTATTGTAAATCTTTATGGACATGATTAAGGGGCTAGATGAGTGTAAATTTAATTTAGAGGTTGGCAAAATTAATTTATTTTTGTTTCTAGTTGAGTATTTTATTGGGGCATCTCCTCTTTTAATATATAAATTTGGATGTTGACGCACAAATTTGCAAATCTGAAATATATAAATGCATGGCAAGCTAAGAATTTCATGTTTTTTAAAATGAGGCTTACATGAGTCTGTATTTTCAATATTTACTAAGATTCTCACAAGTTTCTTTTGCTGTGTGAAAATAATAGATGCATCCGTACTGTTCCCCCACAAAATAACTCCGTAATTCAACCAAGAGTATGCATAAGCATAATACATAGCCAGTGCAGTTTTCATGTTTGTTGTGCGTTTAATTTCGTAAAAGGCGTATGAAAAGCTAGCAATTTTCGATCTTACTTTCTGAATATGCGGTTTCCAATTTAAATGTTTGTCTATGGTTATTCCTAACAAACAAAATTCGTCGACAACTTCGGTGCGATTTCGTGATGTTGGTACGATGTGTGCGAAATTGTGTCTTATTGAATTTAACTATTCTATATCATGATTTATTGGTTTGTAGTGTCCAGGTAGGTTTAATATTGTAATTTTAATAGATTTGTATTATCTGTGTTTACCTACCTTCTAATGTGAGCATAAAAATTCAAATGTTATATTTTAGTCCTTATTTTCATTTTTTGGTAAAATTTAGTATTGGTTTGTTATAATATTGATAAAAATGCACTCGGACATATTTTTTGTTTTGAAATTACCTTCGATGGATTTTAAATTGTGGATATTTTTGTCTCATTTTAATTTTCTCTCTATACAGATTGTTTTAATTAATTTTATACATTGATAGGAACACTGTTTCATATTATACGGGAATGGGCGTTAATTCTGCAACACAGTTTTTGTAAAACTAAAGCAGTTTTAACGATTCATAATTTTATGTACATTGCACTTGTTCCAAATAAAGTTATTATTATTATTATATTAAGCGCATTTTATCGTCTATACCACGGCGAGTGTTCTGAGGAGTTATTCTCCCTTATCCCTCCATCACCTTTTCTTCAGAGGACCACGCGCGATGGCCTACGTTGCCACCGACTTACTGTGGCCACTATTCCTACACGAACAAAGAAATTTGGTGACTCATTTCTTTGTCGTACTATTCGTAAGTGGAATTCTTTACCCGCGCAAGTGTTCCCTCCTTCCTATAATCCGGGGTCCTTTAAGAGAGGCGTGAAGAAGCATTTTTGCAGGCCGGCAAGGTGAGGATGATTGGTGTAGCAGTTTATAACTGCTGTACCAGCTATCTTCGCGTTTGGACTTTATTACCACTTAACATCAGGTGGGGTAGAGTCATTTGCCTACCTTAAAAAAAACTTTCATAGTGGCTAACATTATATATAGTATATTTGTTTCTTAGGTTTTCACGCACATCACTCATTAAATAAAACTAGTTTTAACAGCAGCCTTTTCAGGTCTGCATGGTCAGAATAATGATTTTTTCATTTCCTTTGTCGAGCTACCTTCGAAAGACTTTTATTGAGCGTTCGGCTATTTCATTGGAAGATTTTTAAAGTTTTATTGTCTATGTATGAATTTATTAGTTAATTTAGTACAAAATAAGAGATAGAAAGCCTCTCTGAGTTTGTTTCGCCGGTTCTTCTCAGAAAGGTCTCCCAATTTTGGAACCGGTGGTAGTTTACGGTAGTTAGGGTCAAATAAATAAACTCAAAATTACAAAGAAGAATTTTAAATACAGTACTTTATTAACTAAATTAACTAATAAATTCATACATAGACAATAAAATTTTAAAAATCTTCCAATGAAATATCCGAACGCTCAATAAAAGTCTTTCGAAGGTAGCTCGACAAAGTAAATAAAAAATCATTATTCTGACTCTGCAGACCTGAAAAGGCTGCGAAACGTCAATAAATAAATAAAGTTGTGCATTAACCCGTTAAAACTAATTTTATTTATTATATATAGTAATTTATATTATTTACGGGTTTGTTACCATGTACCTTGTTTTAGGGAGTTTCCGATATAACGGCTTTTTGTAAGCGCCAGTATCGGAAACTCACCAAAAACAAGGTACATGGTAACAATCCCAATTAATATAAGACTAGCAAACCAGTGAACCAAATGTTCACCAAAACCTGATTTAAAAAATGTATTTAATTAATTGAGAACTTCGGAGATTTTGTGTGGTTTCGTTAAAAAAATAATAATTAACCTTTAAATAGTTAATTAAAATTGTGATAATTACAAAATAGAAATCACTTGATTTCTCGAAAACCGGAAGTGCTACGTTACTCAAATCCGGTTTGTAGTCTTATCAGACTATTCTTAACTTATAACTTAAAAGCATTCTCTTTATCTATCTCTTACGGTTTGGCCGCTGAAACAGCACCACAGACGGACGGACGGACTTGTCTAATAGATAAGAGATTAAACTTGACTTATTTGACTTTGTCCACGTTAACTTAAGTTTTTGTGAAGCCCACAGGAACGTTACATTTTTTAAATATAAATCAAAATAAAAGTTGGAAATAATATCCTATGTCTCAATCCCGGCCATAAACTTTCATCATCATCATCATCATCAGCCTATTAATATCCCCACTGCTGGGGCACAGGCCTTTCCTATGGATGGAAGGGAGGTTAGGGCCATGACCCACCGGATTAGCGGTTGCTAACGACTGCAGATGCAGCCGGAACCAACGGCTGAACGTGCCTTCCGAAGCACGGAGGGGTTCGAGATAATAATAATTTGGTCACCCATCCAATGACCGACCACTGCGAAAGTTGCTTAACTTCAACGATCGCAGCCGAACGCGCTAACCACTTGCGCCATTGAGCTCCTCTTCTTCCATATACTTTATGCGTACCAAATTTCATCCAAAGCCGTTCAGTAGTTTTTACGTTTCACGTTTATAATATGTGAAGGCAGCGGCGTAGCGTGGGTGTAGGCTGCCCGGGGCGAAGGACAATTCTGCCGCCCTCGTATTTAAATGGTTGAAATATTTTTATTATTTATTGTAAAATTTTGCCGCTCCCTAAGAAGTGCCGCCCGCCCCCACTACGCTACGCCTCAGTGTGAAGGATGTATATATAAAAATTGTACTTAAACCAGTTTTACTTTCGATACATATAATCACACTAGGACGTATACATAAAATTGTACTTAAATCTGTTGTACATTCAATACATATAATCACCCTTGGATGTATACATAAAATTGTACTTGAATCTGTTGTACTTTCGATACATATAATCACACTAGGACGTATACATAAAATTGTACTTGAATCTGTTCATTCGATACATATAATCACCCTTGGATGTATACATAAAATTGTACTTGAATCTGTTCATTCGATACATATAATCACACTAGTACGTATACATAAAATTGTACTTGAATCTGTTCATTCGATACATATAATCACACTAGTACGTATACATAAAATTGTACTTGAATCTGTTCATTCGATACATATAATCACACTAGGACGTATACATAAAATTGTACTTAAATCTGTTGTACATTTGATTGCTCATTAAAATTTAATGTAATAATAATACGTCTTAATATATTTTATATAATTCATTCACAGACTCTACGTGATATTGAAGAATTGAACAATCTTTTACCAGAAGACAAAAGGTTGGAGAAGTTCGTATGGAATAATGAACATTGAAAATATGTAATAGGTTACTAGAAAAATACAATCAGACAAACGGACGTTCTCTGATATTTCAATTAAGTATTATTTATACATACTTTTTTTGTTGCAATTTTCAACAAGATTTTTTATTAGTATTTATCAAAATATTTTAGCATTTATCAAAAAGTTTATATTTAAACTTTTTTTTTCACTTAAATTCAATTCGGCAGGAATCGGATTGCATAATAAGGGACATCGTTAACTTTAATGAAACATTTAAATTAATTTACTATCTAAAAGTGTTCCCGTAAAAGACAAAATTAAATATGAGATTAAATCTTTTACCAGTCAAGATGTATATATCTGTATATATTGTAAATTACATGCTAAGGTTAGAAAATCCAAGTGCAATATTCGCGGAGTTTGCGATTGTAAAAGCTAAGCAACTTTGGCCATGGCCAATTTGCGGATGGGTGACCAAAAGTTTGTTATCTCGATTTTGTCTGTGCTTTAAATGGGACGTATACTGGGCCATGATGTAATCGTTAGCACCCATAATTCCGCAATGGGTCCGCATTCTTAAATCAATCATTCATTACATAATTTTGATACAAAAAAAAATTTAGGTGTTCTATCTGCTTTGGTATAGAAAAATATAACGAAGGGGCAGAACAGAACGGGCCCAGTGCTTTTCCCTGTAGCAGTTTACATTAAGTATATCACGTTTTTATCACGTCTAACTGTCAAACTCCATAATAATTTGACAATAGGGTATTTGACAAGTTTTAGAAAACGATCTCACGTTATTGACTAATGTTTATGGAGTCCGTAAAAAGTGGATATTCATCATTCTGTTGTGTATTTCAGTAAAAATAACCAAATCAAAAACTCCATTTTCAAGTTGCCGCGAAAACGTTTCTCTGGACAATATGGCGTCTTACTAGTGTGTGACGTCACACGACTGTTATTAAAACGTCAAACGATACAATGTAATGTCACATTAACCGGAAGTTTACTTGCGTGTGACGTTAATTTAGGCTCCGCCAATCCCAAGCGTTTTGGGTCACGTGACAATAGATAAGAAAACTATTATCTTTTCGTGGGTTTTAAGTGAAATTATGTTTTGTTTTGTAAAAATAGTAAAAACCCCTGCCAATATTCATTCTAAACACAGATGCTAACAATTGGCACTTTATTTTTATTACTCTCGAATACCCTATTAATGTTATGTTTCTTTAGATTTAAACATCTAGTAGTTACATGCTTAAAAAATAAAAATATGTTTATAAGTTTTTTTTTCTAAATGGCTTCGCACGGCTTGTGCATTTAGCCAATGTCAAGTGTTAAAATGTTTACAAATTCTATAGCACTCGTGGTCAAAGTAATAAATCATGTCTAAGTAAGTGGCAGTCAAGTCAAACCCCCTTTCCCTATGTTTCGGTAAATGTGTGGGGATTTACTGGAACCTCCCCGTGGACTTCTTGAGGGAACGTCGAAAGACACTTTCCGCTATTTTGTTTCACTTGCCAACACTTGTGCATGTTCCCGAACACTTAGTGGTTAATAATTAATCCACCATTATTAGACACTAACATCCGCCACAACACAATTTTTAACAAGAAAAACAAAACTGCTAAAGTGACGCTTCCCGATCCCGCCAAAAAGGTCTCTGTTTTTAATTTACTTGATCCAAATGTCGATATTTCAGACCCCCCTTCCTGATATAATTAATTTAGATTCTTCATTCTGTTTTTTGACAGTTGTTCATATATAAGTCAAGACACGCGAAACCTTTTTGTCATTTGTCATATAAGTTGTAAATAGTAAGTATATCAGTTAAGAGTCTGTGCGGAAAGAGAATGGGAATTAGATCGGAGGGCGCTGTAGTGCTTTTCTACCGTATTTGTAAGGTTTCACCCCTTTTAGACATGATTAAATACAAAATACCGCAAGAAATCACAACAACAAACAAATCCGTATCAATACAAAACATTGACGTGTTACAGATTGCTGGGTTTGATTGCCAAATAAAAATCTTAATGTTAGTTCCGTTTTTCGCCACGCCCATTCTCTTTCCGCACAGACTCTAGTGTGTTGTGAAATGTATAGCTTTATTTATTTTAGTATGTAATTTATAAAATTTGTAAATTACTCAATGTAATAAAATTAATAACAATACTAAACTATAATGTTTTGTTTGATTTTTTTTCCAATTACGGTAAAGAATTTCCTGTGAGGTCGACGTACATTTTCGTTTTGTTAGGCAAAAAATATATTTGTTTTGCCGACTTTGCTCGCCCCCCGAGTCTCAATGATATAATAATAATAATCATAATTTATTTCAGATCATGTTCATATTTTGTTAGTTAAATTATATAATACTAGCTGTTACCCGCGGCTACGCTCGCGTGGTTTTCCTATTTGAGGCTATCATCCCCTTTTGACATAGTGAGTAAAAAAGTAGCTTATAGCAACCCAAAGCTTCAATACATACATACTTACTAAATTTCAAAGTGGTTTAGGCTTCGAGGAAGGATAAACAAAACAAACACTCTCCTAATAATACCTAACTAACAAACCAGTGAACCAAATGTTCACCAAAACCTGATTTAAAAAAAAAAATGTATTTAATTAATTGAGAACTTCGGAGATTTTGTGTGATTTCGTTTGAAATTCGTGATTTCTCGAAAACCGGAAGTGCTACGTTACTCAAATCCGGTTTGTAGTCTTATCAGACTATTCTTAACTTGTAACTTAAACATTCTCTTTATCTATCTCTTACGGTTTGGCCGCTGAAACAGCACCACAGACAGACGGACGGACGGACGGACTTGTCTAATAGATAAGAGATACTACTATGGATAGTACGTAATAAAACTTCAAAATGTAAAAGCAGTAAAAAGTATTAGTATTATTATTAGAATAAAGGGTTTAATTATTTTAAACACATAGCAGTACTATTTAAGTACGCTACTGTACACGATGTTATAAATTAAAAAAAAAAACCTATTTTAATTACAACAGTATAAAAATGTTTTGTAAGCACCTACTCAACTTGTTTATAGTAGGTAGGTATTTAAAATCCAAAAAAATTGCGAATAATTATCCATTCACCTATTGTCACAAAAACCAAAGATCAATGTGTTAAGTTAATCGTCAAAACGATTGCTTTTTAATATTCCTTTTTGTTTTTTTTTTAATATAATTATTTTTATTTAATTATTATTATTATTTTAATAACAGATACTTAACATATATTATGTAGGTATGTGATAGGTAATTCGTTTTTTATTAAAATCAAGGTATTTACCTATCTAGGTAGGTACCAATCAAGGTAGGTAGGTACCTATCTACAAAGGTATCTACCAAATAGGCAGCCCTTCTTTCAGAGCAACAAAACCAATCAAAAACTACAATACCATATTATTACAAAAACCAATACCTACCTATGCGTTGTCTATCTTACTGGTAAAAATCGAGGTAGGTAGGTTATAATATAATAATCGTAATTTTTATCAGTGAGCCAATTTTATACATTCGAAGAAACTACCAAAATACCTACCTAATTCATTTAATGCACAACAAAACCAAATCAGAAAGGAAAACAAAAACAGATATGTAGGTAGGTAGGTACCTTGGTAAATCGTATTTCTTTAAAATCAATCAAGGTAGGTAGACCTACCTTGATTGATTTTACCTACTGCTTGCTGTTGCTTACCTGCTGAAATAGTAAGCACTTAACACCACCACGTTGATTCTTCTCCAATAGCACAGATAACAGAATACTATTAAAAACAATAAATATAAAAAAGTAATGTTCATGAATAGCGCCATCCGAAAAACCTTACATTTTTAGTGCAAGTAAACTCGATTTTAATGACGGGTAGCGACATCTCTTCAGTTTCACACGCAACAGCTTGGTTTTCGAATTGTTATTCGAGTTGGTAGCGCCTACCTCTACTCAACATCCAGGATCAATCTTCACTAGAAAATTATTGGATAATACTCGAATAAGGGACTAAAATAAATCATAACAGCTGTTTATTTAGTATCTGTCTACTGTAAACAGCTGATTATTTAATATCTATTTGATGTTTATAAGATTTTCTGGTAAGATATTAGGACACTGAAGGAAGTCGGTTTTTTTTACTAATATTGTTTTAATTAAAATATCTACCTACATCACGTTAAAATTAACAATAAATATTAAAAAATCATGTTCATAAATAGCGCGATCTGAAAAAACGCAATATCACAACTCACATTTTTAGCAATTAAAAATACTCGATTTTAAAGACGGGTGGTGCCATCTGTTAAGTTACTCAGAAAATATTATTTCAAGAGAGACTACTCGGTTGAGTTGGTATTCGAGATGGTAGCGCCATCTCTATTTTATATATTATTATATAAGCGACATCCAGAATCTATAATCACTCGAAAATGATATTTTTATATTATAAATTTAGAGTAGTATTTGCTAGATTTAATTTTAAAAATGAGATTAGAAAGAAATTGCGTAAAATTACCTCGATTTAATAAATGAAACACTAACACAAAATACTCAGTATTGAACACGAGTGGTGCCATCTCGTATTATGTTAAGATAGCAACTTCCACATTTCAAATTTAATCTGTCTTCGTGACAGTAGCGCCATCTCTATCGAGACCAACCATGAAAATGATTAATTTAGTTGAAAATTATGTAAATTCGAATACATAAATTAAAAAAAAGTAGCCTATAGCAGTCTCATAAGTTCAAGCTATACATATACCAAATTTCATTACAATCGGTTCAGCGGTTTAGGCGTGAAGAGAAGACAAACAAACAAACACACTTTCCCATTTATAATATTAAATTAATATTAATATATATTAAAATAAATTAGTATAATTAGTATGGATTAGCAATGTCAAATGAAAAACTAATTAGGTACATGCACACCTGCATGTACCAATCTACCTGTCTAGTGCTCTGTAAATGGCCCGTCTATTTTATCAGTCAGTGTGATGAGGATACATTTCAATCACGCCGACAAAATAGTACAATAATGATTTTTTTAGGGTAGGTTTTAAGTACATGTAACCTGGGGATGTTTTTTTTCATCGTCTACACCATCGCGTGTAGGGTTACCATCCGTCCGGATTATTTCGGACATGTCCGGACTTCGAGACTATAGTCCGGAATTTGTTCGGATCTTCAAATTGTCCGGATTTTTTAAATTACATTGAATATCAATAATAAAAGTACATATTGATTTAAATACCATACCAGTAACTAAGTGAGCAATGGTACCACTTTGTGATTAAAAAGTCAAAAAGGACTTCTGAATTTCCTAAATGGTAACCCTAACCGCGTGGGGAGTAGTTGAGTAGGTCCTTTAAAATGACTTGGGGATTTTTAGACTATTTTTCGATTTAGGATCCCTAAATCGTTTGTGAAATATTGAACTTTAAAGTACTAATTTCTGTTCGAGCAGGGCGTCCCACCCTTCCCTCTAAAAGCTAAACTATAGGCTTGAAAAACCTGGGAAAATTATTGATAATAGCGATTTTCATGAACTTTCAGGAAAATCATAACGGTTAAGATAGATTTGTTAGTTCAAGAGTAATAGTCGTTCAACTTTTGTTAAAGAAAAATTCTTACCTTATTGAAAATCCCTTACAATAAAACATTAATAGTGACATGGATGAAGTTATTGTAGCGTAAAATCTTGCATTGAAAAACAAAAAAAAAAAGATTTACTTTTTTGTTTTAATTTCCGATACCTTCAGAAAATAAAGACTCCTGCTCAAACATATTGTGGTAACGACACACAGTATGTTATGAGACCGTAAGATCGGACATTCTTATTTATTTGATGAACTCTTTAGAGCTCATTTATACAAATATGAGAGTAAAACTCCCGTTTGAAAATTCCACGTAGTTTTTGAGATATAAAAATTGAAAAATATTATTATTTTTCTTTTTTAAAAATGAAAAAACAATCTTACTCTGTAACTAATAATATTTTGTTTAGAAACGTTACAGTACTTCATAGAACTCTTTAAACTATACGTAATAAGCGTTTTAAGTGCTTCGTAAACGCTTGCAGTTAATTAGAAAAAAAGATTTTTGTTATTTTTGTTTTTTTCTTCATTATACCATAATATATGCAAACTTTTTCAATCGCAAGATATAGTCTGATATGTATTCTAGTTGTATAAAAAAAATCAGCTTAAAATTCCGTGGTATATTTGAGAAAAAAAAATTAAACCTATTCACAAAATTTTTACGCGTCTAGGGTTGACACATTTAGAAGGGATAATTTCATGTCTAAAAAGTTACAAATAAAAATACTAATCGAATCCCACCTGTTATATTCATAGTATATAAAGGTCTAAAAATTGATATTTGGCGCCTGCAGTTGTTTTTAAATTTTTATTTTATAATAATGTAAATTTATTTTCAGTTGATAAAAATGTTATTTTCACATGATAGGACTGTTGTATCATCACTTGGGTCTTCTACCTGATCTTCGATACATTGTTCTGTAATATCGAACTAATATCGATCAATAGATGAAGCTTTTTGAGATCCAATAAAATTAACTCAAAAAGAGGGTCAAATCTCGGGAAGGAAGATAATAAGCTGATATTTTTTATAAATCTATGTTTTGACGTTTTAAAGGTTACCTCATAAATCTCATAATCATATAAGATCTAGTTTCTGCGTCTTAAGTTATTTAAGCTCGAACGGGAAAAGGTAGGAATAGGGAGCGAGATATTTATAAGAACGGGTTTTTCATAAATATCTTGCTTCCTATTCCAAGGTTAAAAGCTAATTTTACTGGGCTAAAGTACTTTCCACCGACATTGGACCTTTGTCATCTCTGGCATTGTCTATAATCGAACACAAGATTCAATTTAATATGTGTGATTTTAATAAAATATTTAAACCTCCAAAAGAAATATTGCTTTTAAAAAGTTATAAGACATTTACAATTCTATGTGACAGCCCTGGTGCATATTTTCAGTTTGTTTTTTCTCAAATATACCACGAAATTTAATGCTGATTTTTTTTATTACAACTAGAATAAATATCAGACTATATCTTGCAATTAAAAAAGTTTGC